GTCCAACTTGGCAACTTTGTCGTAAGCGTTAATATGTCTGGCCAGAAGACAACCTTAGTTAAGATAGGATTTATTTTAGGAAAGGTGCCAGCCTTTACTGAATGCATTCGTTGTTATACACTTCTTTGGTGTTGGAGAGTCGTTGAGGGGAATGAAGGCTCATGAACGTTTCTTTCAACTGATTGCCAGCCAAACCAGAAGGTTTGGCGAACACTTGGAATGTCGTTTGAATTTGACTTAAAGATGCACCTTTAAGAATCCAATCCTTTTCTGATCAAAATAGAAATTGTTACCATCACTCACTTCAGTCAAAAGTGAAATAGGACTCGCCCATAACCACATCGAGGTTGTTTGACGCCTTCAAGACTCCGCCATGCAGCTTCCTCAGAAGGATTTTTTGAGTAATAAGTTGCTTCGTCGTGCATTTTGGTTGACTTTCGCTTCTTGGGAGTCAGTTGACTTTTCTTCAAAATCCGGCAAATATGCCCGTGTGAAATTTTGAACTTTCTTCCCAATTTTCTGAGTGTTTGTCTCAAGGCTTCTTCCTCCAATTGGTTCTTCTTTTTTTTTCAGTCATTTTCCTCCTCTTTCGACCACTTCGCTTTCTTATTTCTGCAGGTTTCCTTTGCTTTAAACTTTTGTAATGGTGATATACACTGTGTGCCAAAAAACTCCCTTTGTACAGATATGTGTAACTGTACACGATTTTTTAGTTTTATGATTTTTAGTTTAAAATCTGCCAATTATATTTCTTCGATCGAATTCATTTAATTAATCCTTTTATTTTCAAAATGGAACGTTATTTACTAAAAATTTTTCGATAAATTAGCATAAATTCTTCCTGGAATGATTTGATTATCTCGTTCGCATGTACAGTTATTCGAAATGACCAGAAAACGTATTTAAATTTGTGCAATTTTTAGAATACGCATCTGTATTCTTTCACCTTTATTTACAACTAGTTAACCGGTAAAGATATTAAGGTTTAAGGTTAAATATTGTTTAAAAATACTAATGTAACTTTCTAAGACTTTCTTATAAAGTTTATATATTGTTTTGTTGTTATTTAATGTTTGATAAATGTAATAAATTTAAATCTATTAATTAATTTACGTGTAAAAGACATACTAGGAAAGTCGTTTTTGTTCTTTTTCAAAGCAAAGTGTAGCTGTTTTCCAAAACGATATGTAAGATCTTTGAATTAAAAAAAAAAAAAACAAGAAAAACCATTGATCATCGAAATATCGAACGAAACTAATACAAAAAGACCGTACTTTTAAAAATATAACTTCTGAATGTTACTGTATTTCATTTAAATTATTTTTAAATTTAAAGCAACGTCACGTAGCGATGACACTACAAGAATTATTTATTTTACAACAATCATGTTTAATTGTTTTAGAATAAGTTTATAGAATAAGTATTTTGTTATATTTCTACATAAAACAAATCATATGACGAAAAATATTCTTGTCTCTCCGCACTCTGCCACTTTCCTGTTTTGAAAACTAACTTTTGATTAAAAAAGTTAATAAAATTGTTAAGTAAAAAATCATTTTTGTATATAAATAAACATGAAAAAATATAATAATATAACTTTTGTGGAGTTATTTTTAATTAATCATTTTTACAGGATCTGTGGTAAATAATTGAATAATTTATCATATCACTATTATAAATAATTAGTTATTTGTAAAATGAAATTATATTTGTAAATTAAATTGCAGGTCTATTTTAGTTATAATCATTCATTAAAAATACATCTAAACCTACAATGCGAGTAGTTTCTAAAATTATAATTAATATACAGTTATTAGGACGTATTAATTAAAATAATAAATAATTTAATTAATTAGTATCTCAATTTATCATAATATGATTCATATATATTAATTTGTTAACAGTGCCAATCGAATCATACTATAATTTTCGTAATTTAAAATATTAATCCACATGATTATAATTCTATTTTATTAATTGAATTACTATTACAGAGTTTCTGAATTTGCATAATGTAATTAATTCATTATTGATTAGACAAAAATCTACTTTTTCTCTCTCTTTTTTTAAAGTTTAAAACAAACTTTACAACGAACGAACATCAACAGTGACAAAAGGAAGACTTCGAATGAATTTTTCACAAAAAAGAAAAAACCGTTATTGCTTTGCACTGTCGATGACTGCAGTCATTGTCAAGTTGGGAAAAATATATATATTGTATATATTCCAAAACAAATTTGGATGAAATGAATATTTTAATAAGTTAAAACACTTAGAATTTGTTAAATGTTAAAGATGAATTATAATGATGGCACCATAAGCCCCGTCGATATGAGGTATTTAGATGACTGTACATATAATTGAAAGAATATTAGTAAATTAGAACTTCGCATAGAACAGCAGAATATAGGCGACTCCACCTGTTAGGTACTCCTGTGGCTTTAACGTATATGTACCTGCCATTCATATTAGCTGGGCAGTCGATGAGGATCCTTTTACGAAAAACTGCTCCGTTCATTCTCGATACAGATCCACATTTATTGCCAGTTATAATGGATTCCAATCTGGGCTTATCTTCCACATAAACTGTTAATTTATCTAATTTATAAACATAATCTCTGTAAGGAGTAGCTCGATCTGAAAATACAAAAAAATATTTGTTCTGCATGAGCTGTATTAGGATTTTTTAATTACCATTGTAGATTGGTAGAACAATTGAAATCTCTAAAGGGCGTCTACTTAATGAAAATGATTGAGTATAAAGGGAGTCTCATTGTTTCTACTGTTAATCAATCACTCCAGCAAATGAAGCAATCACGTAAAGGTTTAACTTACCCTGACCTTTACCCTGCCAAGTGACAATCACGACACCGCGTATAGTTCTCTTTTGTCCGAGGTCAACCATCCAAATCGGGTATTCCACATAATAGTTATCGAGAATAGCACATTTTTGAAGTTGATTGTCTGCTTCTCCATCCACAGCAAAAGAAGAATGTCCATATTTCCATCCAACCCAGGCATGTCTTTTATCGTTTACCCAGGTTTCTTTTTGATAAGCTAAATTCTCCACTAGAAAATAGAAAGGAATGTTGATAACACGAAGTTGTTTATGATGTTATCGTTTTAGTTTGATTTATTTTTACTTACCACATTCTGTACAGTCATGTATTCTGAAAAATCCTGGACCACAATCACCTGAAAAGTAAACATTACTTAATACTATTATCGTATTCGGTTAAATTTTTAATAATATTTATTACTGAATATTTACAAATACTAAGGCTTTCATTAAACGTGAACTGCTTTCATTGACTATATAATCTTCAGAAAGGATATAAAAGTTGAAAGTAAGTTGTTTTATATAATTCATATATTCTATTATGTTTAATATATTTGCATTTATTCAAATCTATGAAATCCCTATATGTAAAACAAAATAGAAAGCACGAAATATAAACGTAATAGTAAAGTTTATTTATAGATTTAACATTGTTTTACTGTAGATTTCCATTGCGAATAGAAAGAATTGATAAAATAATTCTTGTTTATTGAATTTATAAANGGGCATGTTGTGCGAAAGGCCAATTTGTCCCCAACCGAGCTGCCCATAACGATTGGAACCAATCGTATAAAGATCTCCTTTATCTATAAACATAAAGTAAGGCAATATATCTTAATTTGTAATTAAAATTACGTTTATTACCTAGAGATTTATGCTATTAAACTATATTAAGTTTATGAAAAAAAGAGGGGGAAAAAACTTATGCAAATGCAATTACCATTTTATTTTTACAGAACTAAATTAATTTAATTTATTGTTAAGTTTTAAACTACTTTTAAACAAAAATGGATAAAAGTACTTACTATAAGAATACAGTATATTTGTTTTATCGTAACTTATTATACTTCCAATTATAGCTATATTATATCATATTTTATATTTTGAATTAAATGTAATTGAAATTACCTGTATGACGACATCCAATTACACCCAATCTTAAACTGACTCTCCCGTGCCATGAAGTTGGATGGATTCTTACATATCGACTCACAAATGGATGATTTAAATAGTGATGCCTTTC